AGAAGAGAGTTATCACCTTGAGTTGGTGGTTTTCCGACAACGGTAGTAGCCCCGTGTGCCAACTAACCGATCGTATCTGCCACCCACTCCCTATAGATATTCACTCTTGCCCCCGGGTATAGAGGGACTGTTGTGTGCAAGGGTTTTTGTGTGCAATTTATATTTCAAACAATTGTAGAAATAATCATACAACAGTTATATAAAGCCATACAATAAAAACATACAGAAGGGTAAAGGCGTAATTTCAAATCTTTACTTAGTTTGAATTTATCTGTCACTAAATGGGATCAACTCTCTAGCTTCCCCAATGGAGTCGCCATCTGTCGCCGCCGTCCCTTTCCGACGTCCTGGGGACGTCTCGAAACGTTTATGCGAGCGGTCGCGAAAAGATGGTTTAGACTCGCGTTTTTTGTTTTAAAATGTGCTCATTGCTTCCGAGGTGTCCGACAATTGAATTATCCTCTAATAAAAGCAAGGTTTTCGAAAAGGGGTTCTTATGGAGTCGCCACCAATATTTTGACCAGAAACATTGGAAAAGGAAAGAAAGAAAGGCGTTGATTTTATAAAATAAACAACTTGGCCGTTATAACCAGAGTTGGGTAAGGGAGTTAGTTACGTGTGGGGAAGGTATTAGCACCCCACAACGCCCCTTTCGGGTTCCCTATGACAGATCAATTCATTTAAAGAGAAGATTTCAGGAAATTACGTGATTACCCTATTTTATTGCATAATATTGAAATGACTATTTACATAATTTTATATAAATAAAGCTAAATAAAGCAATAATAGAGATATTAAAATGACTATCTACATGATTCTATTTTACATGACATAATAAAGCTAAATAAAACAATAAAACAATAAATAAAACAATAAAAGAGAAGGGAATTGAAAAGAACCTCCGTAGCAAGCTTTATATTGAGAATCTCGAACCGTGAGGATGCGTTTTGGCAACCCCTCTCTCTACACGAGTCTCTCCTCACCAATACAAGATCGACTCCACTAAAAATTTAAAGAAGAATCAAATGCCGGAATATAATTCCTTAACCGATTGTTACCTATTTAAGGCAATCGGAAAGATCATTCGAGAGAGGGAGAGAAGTAGACAAGTGCTCTAAAGTGTTTCAGAGCTCTCGGAGTGTCCGTGGTGTGAAAAAGTGGCAAATGAGCCTCCTATTTATAGTTTTTCGCAGCTGGCGCACTTTGGGACGGCCGTCCGGGTTGGGACGGCCGTCCGGACCGGGATGGCCGTCCCAAATGGCAAATTTACACAGAGCGGGACCCCCGGGGAAGCCGGGACGGCCGTCCCACTTAAATTGGGTTTGGGACGGCCGTCCCACATTCGGGACGCGCGTCCCAACTGTAAAATAGCAGTTGGGACGGCCGTCCCACTTCTGGGACCGTGGTCTCGGCCTGTTTTGTCCAGTTTTCGTGTTCTGGGACCCCGGGAAGCTTTCCTTTCCTTTTTCGGACATAGATTGATGCCGATGTGTGTCCGTTGAAGCTTTATCTTCATATAGGAAGTCTTCTTGGCCTTCATTAAGATGTCGGGCGAGCTTTGTCTTTGTGTAGGAAGTCTCTTTTGGCTTTTATTGTGTGAATGAGTGAACTTCGTCTTCTGTTGTGGGAGGTCCTTCTCGGTTTTGGGAAGCCGGATGAACTCCATCTTTGGGTGAAATTCCTCTAGCTTTTATTTTGAGAGGCCGGGCAAAATTAGGGGTCTACAACTGTGTAGTACCTGAACTTATACATTGTACTGGGTCTTAATCATTTTTCAGAATTTCTAAAATAGGCCTCCAACTTCACTTTTAGACTTCATCAAACATAACCAAGTCATTCAAGTACAATCATCAATAAACGTTACAAACCACGTTGAGTCACCCAACGTTATAACCTTAGATGGACCCCATACATCAGAGCGGATGATCATAAAAGGAAGATAACTTTTATTTGAAATTAAAGGAAAATATGTTCTATGACTCTTTGCAAGCTCACAAACATCACAATAAAAAGTTGAAGTGTCTACTTGGTCAAATACATTTGGAAATAATTTCTTTATGTAATCAAAAGATGCATGTCCTAGACGCTTATGTCATAACCAAATATCCTCGTCTTTTCTTACTTCTTGAGACCCTTTTGTTGCTAGCACTTGACTAAGTCTCTTTGAATCTTTTTCTGTCAGGTCCAGGTAATACAATCTTCCTCGCCTAATATCACAACCAATCGTCTTCCTCGTTTGAATGTCCTTAAAAATACAAGAGTCAGAACAAAAAATTACAATACATAAAAGAGCTTTGGTTATTTGCGAGACTGACAATAGGTTATATTTAAGACAAGGAACAACAAGGACAGTATCAAGATTCAAATTGTTTGAAATAAAGACAGTTCATTCTCCAATAATAGTGAATTTACTACCATTGACTGTGGAAATACTTTTTTGTGAGAAAAGTTTAAGATTTTTAATCTGTCTAACATCAAAAGTCACATGATCAGAACATGCAGAGTTAATTGTCCATGTATTATTCAAAATGGTAGATTTGCTTATTAAAGCCTTACCATTGGAATTATCACTACCTGCGATTGTAGCAAACATCATGTCTTTGTTATCTTCTTTGTCAATGACAGCTACAACAGTAGCAGTTAGATTTCTTTTTGAATTCTTCTTCGATGCTCGACTGTGATCCCACCACTCGGGGTATCCTATGATTTCATAGCATCGTTCCTTGGTGTGTCCATCCTTATTACACTGAGTATACTTGTAGTTACATTTTTCCAAATCTTTTGATTGCTTCGATTTGCTGGTTGATTCTTTGTCATCATAGTTGTGGAATCAGAAATCATATCTTTTGTTTTCAAAGTTGTTCGCCAGACTATCTCTCTCCGGATTAATGCATAACATTCTTCTAAATGAGGTGTCACTTCCTTGCGCAAGATTTTTCCACAAACTTGCTCAAAATCATCATCCAGTCCAACAAAGAATATATGCACCCTTAATCTTTCAATGGACTTCTAATATGACTTCACATCATCAGGGTCCTTCATGACTACTTTGTCACGATGGTCCAATTCCCTAAAAATCTCAACCAACTCCCCATAATATTCAATTAAGGTTCTATTATTTTGTTTTGTAGTGAATGCCCTTTGATTCAGGAAAAACACCTATAGCTCATCACTTCCATCATAAAATATCTTTGACAAAACATTCCAAATATCGAGGGCAGTGGGTAAGTGAAGATACATTTTCATGATTTTTGGCTTCATGGACATCAATAGCCATCTTTTCACTTTTTGGTTTTCAGCATACCATTTTTCATATCCCTCATCGTTCTATGTTGGAAACTTCACCTTCCCACGGATGTAGGACAATTTTTACCTTTTTGCAATGTGCAACTCCATTAGTTGTGATCATACGTCACAATTAGATTCATTTAGGATGATGCCTACGTTAAAGACACCTTCAAATTGAACAACTATTGGAATTAGTTTTTCTACCATCTCTCTAGTTAAGATCTCCAAGGATTTAGAAAGAAAAAGAAAAAAATTATAAACTCTAGTACCAAATTGAAAAATATAGAATTCATTCTATAATTTTTAATTCATATTATTTTTGTACAGAGATATTATGATTTTATAGTTTACTCCAACAAATCAAGACTAAATAAAGGAAGTTCTAATTATATAATATTTTGTACCACTATACAAACCTATAATTTAGTTAATCAAATATCTTTATCCCAACATGTTTCAGAATTCAATCTGATTTTTGTAAAATTGTTTTGAATTGAGTAATATGGGTCTCAATGTGCATTATTAGTGTAAAAACATGTAATAGATAAATAATATTAATATAAGTGTTGAAAAGGATCTTAAATGAAGGTGTAGAACTTTTACAGGAAAATAGAAGAAGGAATTATGATTTGAAACAAAAATTATTGAAAGGGTGTTTTAGTTATTTTACTTAGGATATAGAGTTGTATGGAGAAAGAATAGAGGTGCAGGAAGAAATTGTCCCATTTTATCTCTTCCCATTTCGCTGCATTATCTTTTTCTTGTCAAACAAACATTCACTTTGAAAATGCGGTCAAATTTTACATTGGTTGAACATCCTGGACTTAGGAAAACGGCAGAAAATTAAAACTGAATATAAGAAACAAACGCTTAAAAAAAACCTAAAATTAATTCTTAAATGATTGTTTAAATTAATTGCGATTAAAATTGTAGATGATTGCATCAGAATTTTTTTTTTAAATAATATAGTCTTATTTCCTTAAATACCGGACCTATTTAAACTTGTACAAACTGATTTTGTGATAGATTTAAAAGGGCTTTCCGTTTGGTGCATACTATTGTCAAGATATATGTAGACAGTCTCAAACACGGATGGATAGCATGTGTACAAGATTATGAAATGCCGTTTATCCCGAAATAGCAGATTCTATTTTATCTTTCAATTATCCACTTTTGGTAGATAAGTAAGCAAATCCGCTTGCAAATAATGAGAAAAATACAATAATGAAGCAGATTAACTGTACATTTGAATTAAAGTAGGGATTTACCCCCAAACCAATCTACTTCATTGGTACATTGGACTTTATTTGACAGTCCCAGTTGAGAATAGTAGAAACTGAAAAATAAGAGCATAACTCGGTAAAAAGTAACACCTGAAACGAAATGTCAAAGTTACTATTACAATATATGAAATTGTATTTCAACCTTCTGCTGCCACCCTTTGATTCATCTGGCATATTACAATATTCACAACAAAATTGCTTTTACAGATGATGACATATCTAGAGAAATCTTTATATACCTCTATCAGGGTTCAATGATCACCGGATATCGTGACAGCCTGATATCTTTGAAAAAAAAAAAAAAAAACTTCAGTTGACTGAATATGGTTTGCATTAATTCCTATCTAGATAATAGTTGAATATGCTACTGACCTACACTGACACTATCAAGTAAGAAAGATATTAAGAAGCAGTAGTGTGATTTTTAACTCATAATGGCTGAAGTTCTTGCTCAGGAACAGATGCATCCACTGGCTTGTATGAATGCAAGTTTTGCTGTCTTTTTCTCCAAATTAAGAACGTTCCTAATATTGACAGTCCTACAAGTAATGCCACCAAAATAGCTAAACCCACGACCCAGAAGTATTGCTGCCACCAATTCCTGCATCATTATAGGCAAGTGTGTAAATATCAGAAGTTGTCATCCATACTCTTCTATATTCTATACTACTAAGGGGATTGAATTTTATAACCATTGATGTACATAATTGCTTTCTATTTTACCCTTAATATTTTGTAACTGCTTTTTCTAATTTGTTTTTTAACTGGATTTTTGAATGTTACAATTTTATCCTTATTATTTTGGAAATCGTCTTTCTAACTGCTTTTAAAAAATGTGGACACAAAGTGAGTTACTAATATTGATCAGGCAAATTCAATAACTCAATAACGAGAAAATTGTAGATAGGCACTGACTGCCTACCAGGGGCATTCAGTTCAATATTATAAAATTTTTCTATAAATGAAAGGTTGTGTGGATCATATTAAAAATTTACCTCCACACAATGATGCCATTGCACCCGCCAATTAATGGAATGTCAACTAAGAATTTCTTATTACTCATTATACCCTAAGAATTTCTACTCAACAAGTAGCGTGTAAATATGCCGTTTCTATGATAGCATGTGGCAAAAAGAAAGAGCGCAGTCACCAAGACCAGTGAGGCCTACAGCAGCAAATTCTATAGCAACGGAGACAGAATTCCTAAAGTTAGCTTTTCAAAGGAAGAAGATATTCTCTTCTATTCTATATATGCTATACCACAACTACCCAAGGCAGAAACAATGATATCATTTTCAGAAAGGTCAAAGCACAACCACCTTTAAATAAAGCCTAGCCGTAATCATAAATAAATAAAAAGCTGAGAGACTGAGAAGTTGGTGACTTTCAATAGAATAACATGTTATCTAGTGCAATACAAGGAGATACATATGATCCACTTCAAAGCTTATTTATCTCATAATTTGCTTAATAAACTAATAAAAAAATAATGTCCTGAAAAATATGATTAAAACTAAATTAATAGTTCCAACTATCAATGAAAAAGCCATATAATATGTCAGATACCAAGAAGTAAAAGCCAATTAGGGACAAAACACATAATAGACAAATACATAAATTAGTTATTACCCAAATACAAACATATGGGTGTTAGGAACAAGACAATAATAAAGGAAAGAATAAAGGAGAGAAAAATAAACGACACAAGAATTTTAACGTGGTTCGGCTAAAATATGTATGCCTACGTCCACGACTACACTAGAAAGTATTTTTATTTCTGTGTGTATCTCAAACTTTACATAGGGTTGCTTATATAACAAAATAGAGAACCTCATCTCACAATCCTAATCGATGTGGGACTAAATCAAGCACCATAATACTAACAATTCTCCCACTTGGAGTTTGATTTACGTTACCACCTAGTGTAGTGCCTTCATCATCAATTTGCTCGAAGGCCGGTTGAGGCAATGCAAAGCCTCAACTTAGTTGTTGTAACGAGTCTTGGTCAACATATCAGCGGGATTCTCTGCACCTGGAATCTTCAACAAACTCAAGTCTCCATCATTTATCGGGTTTCGATAAAATGATACTTCAATTCAATGTGCTTACATCTGGAATGAAGGATTGAATTTTTAGCAAGACAAATAGCACTTTGACTGTCACTAAACAACGGAGAACCATCTTGTTCTCTTCCTAATTCTTTTAGAAGGTTCTTCAACCATATCATCTCCTTCGCCGCTTCCGAGATAGCTACATACTCGCTTCGAGTGGTTGAGAGAGAGACCCTTCCTTGAAGTTTAGACTTCCAACCGATAGCTGTACCACCCAATGTAAAAATATAACCTGTTGTGCTCTTTCTACCGTCAAGATCACCTCCCAAGTCCGCATCGGAAAACCCCTGTAAAATGAGATTACTTCTCTTGAAAGACAAATGCATCTTTGAAGTGCCTTTCAAATATCCGAATATCCACTTCACTCCTTCCCAATGCTCCTTTCCGGGATTTGATAGAAATCTGCTCACAACTCCTACTTGCATGTGCTATGTCCGATCCGGTGCAAACCATAGCATACATCAAGCTTCCTACTGCAGATGCATATGGCACTTTAGACATGTGACTTTCTTCTTCTTCTGTTTGAGAAGATTGCCTCTTTGAAAACTTTAAGTGAGTTCCCAAAGGTGTATTCCTGGTTTTAGCATTCCCAACATTGAATCTGCTAAGCAATTTTTCTATATATTTTTCTTGAGATAAGTTCAAAATACCTTTATCTCTATCTCGGGAGATTCTCATACCAAGAATTTGCTTGGCTGGACCAAGATCCTTCATTTCAAAGCTCTCTGACAATTGTTTCTTCAACTTGTCAATTTCTGCCATATTAGCTCCAACAATCAACATGTCGTCAACATATAAGGCAAGAATGATATAGTTATCAACATATTTCTTCACATAACAACGGTGATCTTCTTCACATCTGCGAAATCCCGAGTTTCTCATAAACTCATTAAACTTCTTGTACCATTGTCTCGGCGCTTGTTTTAATCCGTACAAACTTTTATGAAGCTTGCATACAAGATTTTCTCCGCCTTGTACTTCAAAACCTTTTGGGCTGTGTCATAAAAATTTCCTCTTCAAGATCCCCATGTAAGAATGCGGTTTTGACATCTAAGCTGCTCCAAATGAAGATTTTCTGCAGCCTACTATACTCAAGATAACTCGATGGTAGTCATCTTGACAACAGGAGAGAAAATTTACGTGAAGTCAATTCCTTGTCTTTGTTGGAACCCTTTCACTACGAGTCTAGCCTTATATCTTTTGTCGCCATCCGGTTCTTCTTTCAACCTATAGACCCACCTGTTTTGCAAAACTTTCTTTCCTTCGGTAGCTTGGTTAAAGACCATGTTTTATTCTTCGAAGGGACTTTATCTCATCTTCCATTGCTAGCTCCCACTTAATAGATTCATCTCCCTGCATAGCCTCGACAAAATGCTCGGCTCACCAACATCGATCAACAACAAATAATGCAATGAAGGGGAATACCTTTGTGGTGCTACAATTGTTCTGCTAGATCTTCTAACCAAGATTTCGGGAGTTGCTGACTCTACTATTTGTTCGAGGTTCCGTCTCGAGGCTCGACATAGGCTCTACTTGTATATTCCGCCTTCGGTTGACTACATCACTTTACGAAATTTCTTCTAATGATACTTGCTCTAGTTGTTTATTTACATTTGCGGATTCTGCAATCCTGTCTCTATAGAACATGTTTTCATTAAAAGTAACATTTCTACTTCGATAATTTTCTTGTTTTGGTCATCCCAAAACCCGTAGCCAAACATGTCGGATCCATAACCAATGAAATAACAACGTTTTGCCTTAGGGTCCAATTTATCTCTACTATTAGAGTCTAACATAACATATGAAACACAACCAAAAACTTTCGGATGTGAAAGATTTACCTCTTTTCCGGACCATACTTCTTCGGGTAACTTATAGTCTAAAGGAACTGATGGTCCTCTCGTTTATGAGATAGGCTGCTTGTGTTTATTGCATCCGCCCAAAATACCTTGGGTAATCCTGACTGGATTCTCATACATCTTGCTCTCTCATTCAAGGTTCTGTTCATTCTTTACGCCACACCGTTTTGTTCGGTGTTCCTGGAACTTGTCTTGATCATTCGATCCCATTCTCCGAACAAAACTCCTTGAATTGACTACTTGTCATATTCTCCACCATTATCGGACTTCAAACATTTGACCTTTAAACCTGTTTGAGTCTCAACCTCCTTTTTCCACCTTTTAAACACGAGAAAACACATCAGATTTATTTTTAAGAAAATAAACCCATACCTTTCTTGTAGAGTCATCAATGAAGGTTACATAATATTGTGAACCTCCAAGGGATTTCACTGAAGTCGGCCCCAAACATCCGTATGCACTAGTTCTAGTCTTTCAACTTTAGACGACTTACTTGTTTTGGAGAAGCTAACCTTTTTCTCGCTTTCCAAAGATACAATGTTCGCAAGGTCCAACGTCAACATGCTTCACGTTAGGTATTTTACCTTTTGATATCATGAGCTTCATTCCTTTCTCACTCATATGCCCAAGCCTCGATGCCATAAGGAGGAATTGTTGCCAACTTCGCAACCGATATCATATCCTCATCTCGCAATCATGTGAGAGATCCTTGCTTCTTTCCACGAGCAACAACAAGATTACCTTTCATTACCTTCCAATGTCCATCTCCAAAAGTGGTGTAATGTCCCTCATCATCCAACTGCCCTATAGATATTAAGTTTCTCTTTAAGGTTGGAATATGTCCGACATTATTCAAAGTCCACACGTTTCCATTAGAGGTTCGATGTTAATATCACCTCTTCCTATGATATCAAGAGATTTTCCATCTGCAAGGTAGACCTTCCTAAACTTTCCGAAACATAGTTAGATAATAGTTCTAAGGAAGGTGTAGTATGAAATGACGCACCTGAGTCCATAATCCATGAGTCAATAGAATTATCTAAACTACATAACGAGTGCATCTTCAACTTCATCGATTCTCTGCATTTGCTCGATTGATCATCATCTTGCTTCTTGTTGTTGTTGTTGTCCTTCTTTGGAGCCCTACACCGATTTGAAAAGTGGCCCTTTTTCGACAATTCCAACAAGTGATATCATTCGGACTTTTGCTTGTGATCTCCCTCTGGATTTTGATCTGCCTCGGCCTTGATTACGACCTTTCTGGCGACTTCTTCCTCTAGTTTCAGCACTCAATGCTTGAACCCGAATTAGAACTCGAAAGATTCTACTGAATTTTTCCTGCGAACATCTTCGCTTAAGATCAAGTCACGGATGTTATCAAGCTTCAACTTGTTATTGCTTGCGAGAATTACTAACTGCAGTAACGAGTTGCACCCCAACTTTCCGGTAGAGATGATAATAAAATTAATGCTTTCACCTCATCATCAAATATTATCTCGCACTGATGTCAAGCTGCGCAATAATTGCATTAAATTCACTAATATGATTAGTAACCGAGTTACCTTCACCCATTTTGAGGTTGACTAGCCTGCGAATCAAATGCACTTTATTGGCTGCAGAGGGCTTCTCATACATATTTGACAACGCACGCATCAAATCTACGGTTGTCTTCTCGTTCATGATGTTGAACGCAACATTCTTGGCTAATGTCACCCGGATCACACCAAGCGTCTGCCGATCTAACAACTCCCATTCGATCTGCTCCATGTCGGTTGGCTTACGCCTGTCAAGGGTAGATACAACTTCTTCGATACGAGATAATCTTCCATCTGCATCTTCCGGAACCCGAAGTCACTGCCATCGAACTTCTCGATCCTCACCTTTCCTTCTTCCAATGCCATTGCTCTCACTGCTTTCGAAGAAAGCTCCCACTGCTTCTCTAAACCGAGATTCCCAAGAAAAAAGACCAAATCTTTTCGATGTGGAAGATCGAGACAAAGCTACAACCACAGAGCATACTAAGAAAATTGGCTCTTGATACCAATTGTTAGGAACAAGACAATAATAAAGGAAAGAATAAAGGAGAGAAAAATAAACGACACAAGAATTTTAACGTGGTTCGGCTAAAATATGTATGCCTACGTCCACGACTACACTAGGAAGTATTTTTATTTCTGTGTGTATCTCAAACTTTACATAGGGTTGCTTATATAACAAAATAGAGAACCTCATCTCACAATCCTAATCGATGTGGGACTAAATCAAGCACCATAATACTAACAATTGTTAGGATCGAGCGCTTACCACTAGGCCAAAAGCTATAGCCATTAGTCAGAGCGCAACTCTTTTTACTTTAACAGCCCAAGCGCCACGATTCAATTATGACTCGGCCCACCTGACCTTCGTCACAGGACAATTGATGCTACCTGCAACAATCTCCCCCTCAGCAATTGTCCTACAAGGTATCCCACTCTTGGATTGTGACTTGGCCCACCCGGCCTCTGCCACGGGACAATTGTGCAACCTGCAACAATCTCCCCCTCAACAATTGCCCACCAGGAATCGAACTCGTGACCTTGGCTCGATACCAATTGTTAGGATCGAGCGCTTACCACTAGGCCAAAAGCTATAGCCATTAGTCGAGCGCAACTCTTTTTACTTTAACAGCCCAAGCGCCACGATTCAATTGTGACTCGGCCCACCTGACCTTCGTCACAGGACAATTGATGCTACCTGCAACAATGGGCCATATCCAGAAAAAGTGAGAGGTGAGGAGTTCATCTTCAAATGAAAAGAAAAATAAGTGTTAAATTTAAAAACATGTACCAAGTCTCAAAAATATTTATATTTGAGTACTGTTTAGACTGTTTTGAAGTGTTTCTGCTTCATAGATGTCTACCTTTATATCCAATACGTTTTCTCTTAGTTATCTCTTTTATAAAATTTGCATTTTCGTAAAAGTTTCTTTGGCCCATACCCTACTTACTAATTAGAAGAAAAGTTAAGAAAAAAGGTTAAAGGGCCGTACCATACCCATGATTAGAGTTTATTTAAAATCCAAACACAAATTTTTTTCCGCAGCTTCAAATTGAGAAAGCAATCTGTTGAATCTAGAATCGATGCTACGAATTTGTAAAATATCAGATATGCACAATGAAAAGCATGGGTTACAATGAATTATGTGAAACCAACCACAATTAATACAAGATAACAATACAGACGGTATCGAACAGATAACATTCCCAATTTAGGGCTTTTCCTTTTAATGGAAAAACTTACTTTGATGGAGGCTCAACACTCCAATCAATCAACTTATAATTTCCAAAGGAGTCAGGAAGTTGGATGCGATGTTCAGCTAGCCGGGAAATTATATTCTGTACAGAAAATCACCATCAAATGGGCAGTCTTCATAAAAATGCTGTGCAAATATGTCCACTTACCGTTGCAGTAGTGTTAGAAATATAATGAGCATACGGTTTTGGGGTTATGACCCATTTACTGAGGGAATCATTTCCAGTTGACGTAAAATTCAGTAAGTGGACCTGTAAACATCCATTATAAGGTAACAAAAAACATATTAGAGTGTAAATTGACTGAAAATGGATAACTTGTTTGGGTACTTCTGAAAGTTATCACCACAAATTATGAGAGCCTTTAGCTTGGGACCTCTTACCAAAATCCCCACCTATGCTAGCCGTACTATGTGTACATGTACATTTTTAATCAAACAATTTTTAACTTTATTAAAATTGTGAGTTGAACTTGAATGTTTAAGCAATAAATATTCATGCGATGTAGTAATAATTTTCTAACCTGGGAAGTATTAACATCTAACCCATGAGCGAAGAGTCCAGCCAATTCTGTAATGTGAGGCTTCATATCCACATAACTGATGTTAAAGGAAATTAACATTGTTATTTGTGCAATTTTAAGTTCACCTGTACATTTGAGTTTGTTAAAGTACATTCGTCATCAACGAGTATTCAAATAAAAGGAATTTGCACTAATTACTGAGACATTAAAAGCATGATGAACAAAGATAAGGAATATAAAACTTCTGACATGGCCCATGTTAACCCATGATGTCTCTGTATATACTTTTAAGCACATTTGAAGACTGGCAGCACATAATACCTGGAGGAGAATTATTCCGCGACAAAGATGGAGCAACTGACGGCTCTAATGCTTCAGTTGGATAGCTTGCTTCTGAATTTGGAGGTAATGATGGGGCAATGGATTCCTGTAATCTTTCCCATAACTCGGCACAGTTTGTTTTCCAGAAACCAATCTTTTCTTGCTCACGATCATACATCACAAGAGTGTTTCGGACAATAATACCTATGTGAACAAAAATGACTTGGGAATTATCACTAAAGAATTGCTGGAACCTATACCACAGAAGCTTACCCATGTAATACAAAATTAGAGCGGAATAAGATTTCACATGAATTATAAAGCATGAAATAGATAAAGTTCCAAAAATCAAATAAGTTACCTCCTAATAGAGTAGTTGGGTCCTTTCCATTTTGGAAAACCCCAAGACAGTATGCTCCTCCCACTTTTGAATGCTTCATAAAGAATGGACCCATGAAACGTACGGATTATGGAATCGTTAACAATTGGTAACAATTGCACCAGCCTGTAAACACAGCTAAAGATACTAGTAATTATGTATCACTAACCCGGAACATGTAGTTTTCAGGTGAGAGTGAATACTTTTCACCATTTCCAAATACCATGTCAACCACTGGAAAACTTTTAGAGAGTTGAGAAGCAACACTGAAATACAAGCAAACCCAAGCTGTTAAGAAAACTGCAATTAATGAATGTGAGCTCTTAATGTAACAGACATACATTCCAGCACCAGAAAAACATATATCATTATAATTTGGATCTGGACCACTGATCTGCTTGAGAGATTGAAGTTCCTTTAATATCTGCAAACCAAATAAGTATAATCGGTATCATGAAGTCTATTAAATACAATTTTGTTGCTAAAACAATGCCTTGAAAGAATACCCTTTAAATGATGCTCACTGATAGATGCGAAATTAAATACTTCAAATCTTGATACCCTTGGGACCACATACAAAGAAACCATTGAAGCTCCCAATCAACAGGAGATTCGTCGAATTATTTATAAATCAGTAAATGCTCAATTAAGAGTATGAAATAAATACTACGACTATTTAAAAGAAGAAAATCATTGATGATTCTTAAAACCTTTAAAATTTATTCAGAAAAGGTTAAACAGTATCAACTTTGCATCCCACCAACTAGAAGCCAAGGGTTGGTATTCAAAAACCTGGCACCAAAATCTGCACCACAATACTTGAGAAACCATTCAAAACTTAATAAGATCCGCATATAGCTTTACATGCAAAGGTTTTCGTAAAACAAGGAAAGGTAAAAAAAAAGGCTCAGAATATGCTCCTCTTCGTGCAGTGGAGAGTATGTGTATATTGCTTGGCCACTATTAAGATGTCTCACCTTGGTTAGGAACATGGCCTAAATACTCTTTATAAAACTTAATAATCCTCTCCCTTTGAACTAACTTAAATTAGCCGCCTCCAATCTAGTAAACTTCACATTCCAAATGTCCATTCTCCATCCTGAGGGGGAATGGGTTATTAAGATGGCGCACATCAGATAGGAACATAGCCAACATACTCTTAATTAAGACCTGGTCTCTCTCTCTTTAAGCTAGGTTTTCAAGTTTAGTCCGTCCATTTCTAGTAGCCTAAAAATTTTCAGCTTTTCCTTAAAAGCTTTTTATGCAATTATATCTTGGCCAATTGAACAATTTATTCTAGCTACATACTGAATAACATGAAACTTAAATTAGAAAATGACAGATGAAACTATAAAATTGCAAGTCCAACTTCATATGAAACTATTTACAAAAGAACTTACCGCATCTTTAAATGCAAGAAATGCTGCTTCTGGCAGGTAAGCATAAGTTGTACCGCTATCCAGGACAGTTCCATGTTTCCCATCAAAAATATTTGTATTTAGAGGCAGTTGCTTCCCCGCAACATGTATCTCCTTCAAATCAATATTGTAATATGGACTGTCGCCACCCCGAAACTAGAGTAAATGTGAGATTAATAAAATGCATTTGTTAAGAAAATGCATTACATCTCATATCCACAAATAAGAATTTTAAAACACACACCTGCGCACAGGATCTGAATATGCAAAGACCATGTCTGATGGGGGAGATATGCCACCAAGAACCATTGCTCCCCCTCCAACATCCATGCCACCATAGCATAGTGAGAATGAATCGCTTATTACATTTTTTTCCACAAGTTGATCCATGATACTAAGATCTCCGCGGCCCAAACCCATGATGCCATCAGCATGTTGACTAAAAAGATCACCAGTCTCAACATTTTCACAGCCAAAAACAGCACGCTGTGGAGCAAGCTCACTCTGATTTCCAAAGGATATGACATCCTCACCAAGGACACCACTGCTCGAACTCATTTCAGCATATTCTCTCTCATACGCACACTGCATCCTGTCACTGTCACAGTTGCAATCAATTGTACATTTGACAGGTTCATAGGTGCTTGATGAATCTGGCTGAAACTTTGGATCCTGTTAAGATAAATTGGACACACAAGCCCAGTCTACTTGAGATAAAACGGATGGACTTTCACACACAAACAAGAATGTAATACAAATATTCTGTTGCATCATTTTCGGTCCTCTTAACACAAAATGGGCACGCAAACCCAATCCACTATCACTTGAGCTAAATTGGATTGGTAACAACTTAAACATGCATAGGTCCAACAAATTTTAAACAAAGTCATTCTTTTACATCTCTATCTTACAAAAAAATGACGCCTTCAGAAACACAATGGAAGCACAATTGGTCTACTGCATTAATAGGGATGGAAATCATCAGTTAGAGCAATCTTTGCACTGGCTTTAGCATGACCTACTATTGCCAGATGATGGTATAAGAATTTTTGTTGGCCTGGCATATTTATGTATGAAAATATAACAACCTATTTCAAAATATTGAATGATGGCTTTCAAATAGGTTTTTATAGGCCTACTACATCAAGGTCTCAAACAGGCATTGACATCAAATCAAAATCAAAATCAAAATCATAATTGTTTATAAAATTAATAAATATAAACATCATAAACCAAACAAGCATATTAAAAAGAGCAGTGATACACAGACCACTCATTTTATCAAACACCTCCACAACACTCACCTTTGTAGCTTTATTTATTATTATTTTTGTTTGTTCTAGTCAATTATGACTCAAAATAAAATAATAAAATAGGGGAGTGTAGAATGAATGTTGGGACTTGCTGGGAGTGTAATAAAGATGACAGACAATACTTTTCAGAATATATTTCATTTCTGGTTTACCATATTCAACACAACCACACTGTCGTATCCTGTCCCAGTTCTTTCATATAATTCAATTTTCGTTTACCGTTTGCAGTATTTATGAATCCAAAATAACTAAGGCAAGGATGTGTCTGAAAAAGGAAAACAAACAAACAGATAACCATCCTAACACACATCACAACACAATGATGCATCACATCCAGTAACATTATTACATACACAAATTGAAAGCAAAAAAAAAAACACAACGCAATGAAGCATTACCTGGTGCCTGCCACACAGTTCGCAAGAGGAGCACGGAACATACGTAACAGTGCTCCCCGTATCAACAATAAGAGCAAACATCTGCGCAGGAGTCCCGATCCAAAGCCGCGTCGTGTAATAGCTAAATCATTCAATTCCACACACGCATAAATCATCAATTATAGAGTTCTATTAAATAAAAACAAAAGCGACGAAGAAGGAAGAAGGAAGAAGGAAGTGCGTGAAACGACGACCTAAGAGGTTTACCCGTTGAGGAGGAGATCGTCGTGGAGTCTCATGCGCGCGTTAAGGTGGCGCTTGGACTCGGATCCGTAAAGCTGGCGACGGGGATCGAGCGCTGACGTAGTGGAATTGGGTGCGGAGAGGTACAGAGGAAGAACCATAGCAGGGCGTGAGCCATGGCGGCGGTTGCGGAGGAGCGTGGAGTTGCCGGCGATGAGGTGGAGGAATATTAAGAGGGTGATAAACGTGATGAGAATGAGGTGAGTGAGTGCCCGCGCCATGAATTGCTGTACACGAGTTACGGTCCTAGTAATGGTTGTTCCTACGGTGACGGATGGAAAGGAACGAAAGAGAAGAAAGAAGTGTGCTCGACCCTTTTAAGAGCGGTTATTATGTTAACCGCTCTTAAAAGTGTATATATAATAATATATTATCGATTATTATCTAATTATAGTCGATCAATGTAACTATTATGACTTTAGATAACGATTAGTAAAAAGCCGCTATTATAAACATACTTTAGACAGCGGTTCCAGACTAACCGCTATCTAATATATATTTTTAAAAGCGGTTCTTATTAACCGCTATCTAAAATTGCTCAAGCGAAAAAAACATCGCTTGAGCGAGAACACCTGAAAAATTGGGGATTCTCGGGTTCTGTACGTAGTGAACCAAGTTATATTAGATGGCTAACTGCGTAGGACGTTTCGTCTATGGTTCAATAGTCGCTCAAGCGAGGAGGACATCGCCTGAGCGATGGAACCTTAACCAATGGGGACCCTCGGGTTCTATCTCGCTCAAGCGAGATTATGAACGCTTGAGCGACAGGTGATATTAATATGTGGTGAACCAAGTTATATTATTTGGCCAATTGCGCGATAGATGCACTGACGTTGAAGAAATTTGTTGATTGTTACCTTCTTCTCGCCATCAATCTCCTCCATTATCATTATCTATCGGAGATCCTTTTCCTAAGCTGCATTTTTACGGTTCAAGTAAGTGCATTCTTCTCGTTTTGTGCCTATGTTCATGTTAGTCTACAATTTTCATGAATTTTTTGCTGAATGATTGGTTCGTTAGCTGTTTAATTTGTAAATAGTTTGTTATGAAAGTGGTGTTGAAAGTGTTTTTCCACTTGTTGGGTTACAATATACAAATCTGGTCACCAACTGTTTGATCAAATGGCACAATGAATAGGGTTAAATTTTAGCTACATAAAATAGCCACTTTCGTGACTAAATTTTAGGTTAGGCTTTGTAATACGGTTCATAATGCCTCCTAAACTTGTGTTTGGTTTTGTATCTTTGCATGATGTAAGTAGGTAAACTAGTGTAATGTAATATGAATATAAATTAAAGGCGATGGTTACATGCATGACCACATTGAATTACCCTAGGTGGCTGGGTCTGCAACACATCAATATGTTGGTGAAGAGATTAAATGGCCCATACACAGCCATACACATGACCACTTTCATTTTGATGAAAAAGTTGTCTTCAAAATTAATGTAGAAATACACCGATAACATTCATTCAACGTTTAATAGTTATTCTTGCTTACAATATTATATCATATGCTTGAACGGTATGTTCCCTTTTTTTTCTTTATTCTGTTTGTTCTTCTTCTTTTGTCCTGTATTACATCATGTATATTATATCGGGGACTCGTCCTTATTTATTGCAGAATCTTTTTTAGCAGTTATAGAGATCTTCAAATTATTTTCTGTTAAACTTTTTAACAAACAAGTGTTGCCTGATGGGACCAAGAAAGGACAAACAAGTGGCTACCTCTTCCAGAGGTCGTGGGAAAAGATTTAGAAGGGGTGAATCGGCTGCCGTTTTCAACAGGAACATCTTCATAGATGAGCATACCCAGCAGAGGTATGAGATGATGCAAGGTTGGAACTTCAACGCTGAATGGCGAGTGGAACTGAAAGAAGGAGAATATACTGAATTTAATAATGAGATTACACGAAGAAAATGGAGGATACTTGCAGAACCAACGTCGAAGTTTGATGCTGATGTGGTAAAAGAATTTTATGCCAATGCTTGGCCTTGTCAAGAAGGATGTCACCAAAAAAGGTCAAAGGTTAGGGGAAAGTGGATATCCTATGACCGGGACACAATAAATGATGTTTATATGTCTACAACAATTAAAATTCACAAGTCATTCATTATTACAATCCTTCAACTTCATGTTAACAAATTGTTCCACCAGTTCGTTGTACACATCACACTATATAATTGCATCCTGTCTTTTCTTTCTGGTTGCGAGAAGCTCCATTTGAAGAGCTTGACACTGCACCAACCGGGTTGACAGATGACCTGATGAAAAACATGACCTCTTGCCTTTGTCCTCAGCCTGGCACCGACAAAAGAAAAAGAGTGTCAAAGAGACTGAGGATTATAATGAAACATCACTATAATGCCAGTTTGAATACAATTGGACAAACATTAGCAATGGACCAAATAGTAGTAATGTAAACAAACAGATAAAATCAATAATTTTTGCAAGTAATGATACTTACTTATATGATTTGTTGTCTCATTTATCATGCCAATTGTCCACCTACATTTTTATCAATACTAGCTATAATCTTGCTTTGTTGATTTCCAAGAAGGCATTCAACTCTACATCCTTCAAAACTCTAATGAAGTCAAATCTGTTATTAACAAAGTATTGGGTGTCAAGGACCTTTGGGGCTATCACCTCCTTTGTCGTCACAGTTTGGGTACTTGAAGAAGTCGCTTCTGAGTGGGTGCACTTGGAGCTTTTTCTTTTGCCAGTCATGGTTTATGTTTACGACTATTGAGATAGTCAACAGTGAACGACAACAGAGAACAGAGAATCTGCGAGTAATTAGAAAGCAAAGAATACATTAACCTCGATGGTTGGTGTATGCTTCTTCTTTACAATGCAAACGAAATCAAACAAGATGAACCATCAAATTAAAATTCAAAACCGAAATCAACAACCATATTAAACCCTAAACCAAATGAACAGAACCCAATATTAAACATAGACGAACCAGAGCCGGGAGAAACGAACGTTTCTTTTGCGTGCGCCGGCGAGAGAGATGGAGAGCGAAATTATGTAAAACTATAATCGCTTAGCACAAACTATGATCGATGTTCTCCAATTATAATCGATCATTCTCAATTATAATCGGTTATCGAAAATTATGATCGATTATTATCCAATTATAGTCGATAACTTTGACATATATGACTTTAGATAGCGGTTATTTGGCCAACCGCTATCTAAACTACAACCGCTATTATAGACATACCTTAGACAGCGGTTCACGGCTAACCACTATCTAATATATATTTTTAAAAGCGTTCTTATTAACCGCTATCTAACGTTGCTCAAGCGAAAAACATATCGCTTGAGCGAGGACACCTGGAAAAATTGGGGATTCTCGGGTTCTGTCTCGCTCAAGCGACGATATGATCGCTTGCGCGACAACTGATTCCTATATACGGTAAACCGAGTTATATGGCTAACTGCGTTGGACGTTTCGATAGTGGGTTCAGTCTCGCTCAAGCGACTATGTAATCGCTTGAGCGAAAGTTGAATCTTATACGTAGTGAACCAAGTTATATTAGATGGCTAAATGCGTAGGACGTTTCGTCTATGGTTCAATAGTCGCTCAAGAGCGATGGAACCTTAACCAATGGGGACCCTCGGGTTCTGTCTCGCTCAAGCGACGTTATGAACGCTTGATCGACAAGTGATTCTAATATGTGGTCAACCAAGTTATATTATATGGCTAACTGCGTTGGACGTTTCCTCAGTTGGTCAACAGTCGCTCAAGCGAGTAATTAGTCGCTCGAGCGACTATACCTTGAAACAATGGAGACTCTCGGGTTCTGTCTCGCTCAAGCGACAGTATCATCGCTTGACCGACACTTATATAAGGTGAACCAAGTTATATTATGTGGCTAGCTGTGTTGGGCGTTTCGTTTGTAGATCAACACTTGCTCAAGCGACGAAACCATCGCTTAAGCGACAAAACATTCAAACAATGGGGATTCTCGGGTTCTGTCTCGCGCAAGCGACGTTATGATCGCTGGAGCGACAAGTGATTCGAATATGTGGTGACCCATGTCATATTATGTGGCTACCTGCGTTGGACTTTTCGTCTACGGCCAAAACTCGCTCAAGCGAGAAAGTAATCGCTTGAGCGAGGTTCCCTTGCAAAAAATAGGGACTCTCGGGTTGTTTCTCGCTCAAGCGATGTTATTCTCGGTCGAGCGGCAAGTGATTCAAATATGTGGTTATCCATGTTACAGTATGTGGCTAACTGCATTGGACATTTCGTCTGTGGCCAAGGCTGAACTTGAATGAGACGTGACATGCAAATTTCAATCTATTTTTTGTTAAGCGCATTCTTTACAACTATTAAGCATGAAGTTATCTGTTATGTACAAAGATGATACGTAAACCTATACATCTTTCCTACAATAAATCTTATCACTTGTACAATTTCCATATGCCAGTTTATATTGTTCTCTTCCCTTGTTCTTTTAATCTGAATTTCTTCTTTTATATTACATATCAACATCTTGCCATCAGAAATTCAAATGGAAATTAATGACCGTTTTGTTTTGTGGAACTAAGTTATACTTGCCCGATTGTTGATGTTACTATGATGTTTCCTTCAGCAGTGAGAGTGGGTGGTGGCCACGCTCCATATATCATCCAAGTATGTGGTATGAGGATAGTTCTACCCTTATCAACCAATCCAACATGCCCTTTAACAGTTAATACTATAGAGGAGCATCTTCATCTTCATCTTCATCTTTATCTTCATCTTTAACAGTTAATACTATAGAGGAACGAAAGAGAAGAATGAAGGATGGTGGAGAGTCTGTGTCTCTCTGAATTTGAGAAAGGAGGGAAGTGAAGTAAGCGTCTCTGTTTTAGTATATATTTGACACTTTTAAGAGCATTTAAAGTTTTGATCGCTCTTAAAAGTGAACATATAATAGCGGTTCCAAGTTAACCGCTATCTTAAGTCCCAATTTAAAAAAAAAAAATATTTAAAATGGATGTGAACCGCGATTCAGTAATACTGTGCATTTATTATTTTTTTATTCGGTTGTCGAACTTGGTTTAAAATATCGGGACTCATTAAAATTGACACATGTTTGAATCAGATATCGCTCGAGCGAGTCTATTTTCGCTCAAGCGAAATGCAACCCGAGAATCCTAATTTTTTGCAGGCGGTGTCGCTCGAGAGATGTGAATTTCGCTTGAGCGATATATGATTCAAACA